GAAATATTTGAATATTTTAACTAGATAGGACTTTCCTGCTTTAAGATAAATTAGTGAATCTTCCTAGACATTCTCACCAGTTGTCAGGATTTTGTATATATATGCATTCATATGCACTTACAGGATCAGCAGGTTTAAGTCATTTATGCCTTAATCCAGCTCTAAATGCTGTTCAGACAACTATGAGAAACTTGTGATTCAGTATGTATCCTAGCATAAAACAAGCCCTGTCAATATCCATCTTTTTCAGCTCTGATTCCCTTTTCCATACAGCCAAATTGTTTGAATTTATTTGAAGTATTATTTTTCTAAATAGTTTCCTAGGGAAAATGTGACTACAAAAAAAAAAAAAAATTCATTGGTTCCTTGGCATTTGAGTCCTGGTGCTATTATAATCCCAAATGAGTAAAACAGTAGAGAGCTTACATTTAAGAAGCAAAATTAGTTATTTCATACCCTTAGTAAATTAATTTTTGGAAAAGGCATTATACTTCTCAGGAAGGAATAGGACAGTTTCTGCATAGACTTTTGTTCCCCCAAGATACTTATTTTATTTGCCAAAAAATTGGACAAGGTAGAATCTTTTTAGAACTATTATAAAAACTTATACAAGGTATCTAGACCTAAAAAATTTATAAATGAATGTGAAATATAAGAAATCTTGAGACATGCCCAAATGCATTCTATAATTATAGGAATTTTAAAGAGAATTATTAAAGTAGTTATTTTATAAAATTTACAATGTTGTTTTTTACTTTGTTTTAATAAATTACTAGGCACTTGGTGGTGTCCCAGGAAGTCAGCCGTTACTCCCCAGTGGAATGGACCCAACTCGACAACAAGGTGACTACCCTAAAGTAAAAGTGAAATTGATGCACAGAACCATAGAGGAAATCCTTTATTTTTTAAGGAAAATTTTATTTGTATTCATCTTTCATAATTAAACCTGTTGCATTTCTTCAGGTAACCTGGCCAAATGATTTATATTTTCAACTCTCTTAAATATGCATGATAGTGAGTGTGGTGATAACATAAGAAACAGAATACATAGATATCCAAAATCCATATTTTAATTAATAACTTCTAAGACCTATTGTATAGCTTCTAACAAGTAGGAGGCTAAGTAATTATATCACTTATGAATTCCTCTGCCTTTTTCAGATGGAGAGATTGTCCACCTGAAAGATGAGCAGAAGAAAAGAGGGTGCTAAGCAGCAAGTGGCTTGATTAGTTTAACAATAATCAGGTCCTTCCTTAAAGATATTTAGGTACCACAGATATGTAAGACCCTATTGTACTGTTCCATGGAAAGAGAAGCAAATTGTATGAAATAATTAATTCAACACAGAATAGGAAGAAAATTTCAATCAAGACATAAATGGAGAGCATGGGTAGATAGTGGTAAGAGGTGGGAAAGTGACCATGGAAGCCAACAGTGTAACACCCAGCAGGGAGGAGGCTGCTAACTTCTAATTTAGCATTCAGGCTCATTACATTGCTAATATCTTCATACTTTTTTAGGACATCCAAATATGGGTGGACCAATGCAGAGAATGACTCCTCCAAGAGGAATGGTGCCCTTAGGACCACAGGTAAATAATCAGTGCAGAAAGCTAGGTGCTGAGCTTTTTACTTTCATCCTATGTAAACAAACTGTGTTATTTGCTATCTTCGAGTATATGCCTTAAAGTCTTGATATAACGTTGTTAGGCTCTTAAGAACATTACATCTGTGACATGTCTAATTGATGTAACAACAAACCATATTCTAACAAGGTGCTGTCATATACGCCTTTAGTTAGTTTACTTGAGAAAATACGTTATAGTAATTGTTACTAAGAGATAACTATTACACTTTTCTTAGTTATGCTGAGGAAATGGTTAAGTTAAATAAAACCCAGTTGATTGAAAATAGTAAATAGGAGAAGCATAAAATATATTTCTATAATTCTTTTAAAGAGTGCTGTTGATAGTTTATTATATACAACCAAATTTCTTTATAGCATAGGAAAACAATAGAGAATCATTTAGAAATATTAAAATAGGTCTTACTGAACAAGCATAATACTATCAGTATACATCAGATGTTAGGGGTTCTCTATTTTTCATACAGTACATTTTTCATACATATGTACTTTTCATACATTAAAGTTGAACCTATCCTAGCTGTTGGTGAAATTTTAAGCGTGCTATTCTAGGATATCATTTATTTTAGCTAAAACATCCTTTTCGTCGGTCTTGGGAAAATTGCTTGGGATAGAAATTAATTTTATAATGTATTTCAAAGAAACTAAGGTTAGCATTTCATAAAGCTGGTTAAAAGAATGAATTTATTTATTTTTCCCTTCCAAGAAGAGCATCATAAGTGATACTTTGAGGAGCTTGTTTCATATATCTACTTTAAAAATATTAAATTGATGTTTTGTTGTGTGCCCAAAGAAGTCAAAGAATTAAGAACTCAATACTTAGATAATGTGACTTAGACCTACATACAATAATATATGTTGTATTATATGTTTGTGTTGAATGTTTGTATGTTTCTAAACAGCATACAATAATATGTATTAACTATATTGAAATATGAGGCTCATATAACCAAATTTTTCGGAGATGCTATATTACATAAAAAACCCTATATACATATGGTTCCAAGGAAAGAGGAGCAAATTGGTGCCACATAAATACAAGTGGCAGTGCCAATGCCA